CTTCCTTCTCCTTTTCCTTGCACAGCAGGCTAGGAAGGTGGATTTCCAGGTGTAGCTGGAGTAATAGATGCGTGCGGTTACTTTGTAAATAATTATGAAGTACTTTCCATAGTGTCACTGGTGATGGAAAGCAAGATCACGCTTATGATGCTATGAATAATTGAAGCAAGAATTTAAGAATTGCAAGGTTGGATGGGTGTGTTGAACTAAAAAATTAATCAGATTTTGGGCTCTTCATGATGCAGGTAACATTAGTATGCGACTAAATTGCTGCTGAAACCTAGCTAAGATGTTTTTCCCTCATTTATGCATAGCTAAAGATTCAGGCAATAGGACCTTACATAGATAGAGAAATAGTAATGTATTAATCGTAGAATATGCAGAAAATAACACCCTGGGTATAAAAAGTACATGGCCTCTGCAATTGAGGCTGTGGTAATGTTCAACAAACCTACCACATGTATTTAGGCAAGAGAGGACTGGGATTTATTCTGTATTTGATAATAAATTGCCAGAAACATCCACAAGTTCTGTTATGTCAGAATATTCAAGGCATAGATGTCTTGGCCTTTGCTGGAGTACAAAGTTTTTGGCAAAGTCTATGGTATCGGTCAGTGCAGCCACATCTTGGACATTAACTTAGTTCCTATTAGCCTTTCTTTAAATAACTACAAACTAAACAATAATTTGTGAGGCAATAGGTATATAAGAGAAATTTTAAGCTGCGGCTTTTCCACTTTTGTCATCTTATCCCAGGCATTAGGATAGAGGTTATCAACTTTGGAACGAGACCTGAGTGAGGTAGCTGGGATCTAGGAAAGCCAGATGTAGGTATTTTTTTGCCTGGAGCAAACTATGGTGCTTTGGGGGTAATGAATATCTATAGTGTATTTTCTTAGAATTTTGTTAAATATGAGAATAATAGTAATGTATTAATCGTAGAATATGCAGAAAATAACACCCTGGGTATAAAAAGTACATGGCCTCTGCAATTGAGGCTGTGGTAATGTTCAACAAACCTACCACATGTATTTAGGCAAGAGAGGACTGGGATTTATTCTGTATTTGATAATAAATTGCCAGAAACATCCACAAGTTTTGTTATGTCAGAATATTCAAGGCATAGATGTCTTGGCCTTTGCTGAAGTACAAAGTTTTTGGCAAAGTCTATGGTATCGGTCAGTGCAGCCACATCTTGGACATTAACTTAGTTCCTATTAGCCTTTCTTTAAATAACTACAAACTAAACAATAATTTGTGAGGCAATAGGTATATAAGAGAAATTTTAAGCTGCAGCTTTTCCACTTTTGTCATCTTATCCCAGGCATTAGGGTAGAGGTTATCAACTTTGGAACGAGACCTGAGTGAGGTAGCTGGGATCTAGGAAAGCCAGATGTAGGTATTTTTTTGCCTGGAGCAAACTATGGTGCTTTGGGGGTAATGAATATCTATAGTGTATTTTCTTAGAATTTTGTTAAATATGAGAATAATAGTAATGTATTAATCGTAGAATATGCAGAAAATAACACCCTGGGTATAAAAAGTACATGGCCTCTGCAATTGAGGCTGTGGTAATGTTCAACAAACCTACCACATGTATTTAGGCAAGAGAGGACTGGGATTTATTCTGTATTTGATAATAAATTGCCAGAAACATCCACAAGTTTTGTTATGTCAGAATATTCAAGGCATAGATGTCTTGGCCTTTGCTGAAGTACAAAGTTTTTGGCAAAGTCTATGGTATCGGTCAGTGCAGCCACATCTTGGACATTAACTTAGTTCCTATTAGCCTTTCTTTAAATAACTACAAACTAAACAATAATTTGTGAGGCAATAGGTATATAAGAGAAATTTTAAGCTGCAGCTTTTCCACTTTTGTCATCTTATCCCAGGCATTAGGATAGAGGTTATCAACTTTGGAACGAGACCTGAGTGAGGTAGCTGGGATCTAGGAAAGCCAGATGTAGGTATTTTTTTGCCTGGAGCAAACTATGGTGCTTTGGGGGTAATGAATATCTATAGTGTATTTTCTTAGAATTTTGTTAAATATGAGAATAATAGTAATGTATTAGTGTTGGTAATTATTCTTGACAAAGTATTTATATGCATTAAAAGAGTCTTCACAAAATATTTATATGCATTAAAACAAGAAATAGACATTCACAGTTGAGACAAAATGGGCACCACATTTAAAATGGACACGAAGGGAAAAAAAATCACACTGACCAGAATATGACCTTGCTATACGGGTGGCCAAAGGAGAGAAAAAAATCTTTAATAGACTATTTAAAAATGTATTACCGTAAATCTGCTATCTTTTAGTCATGGTTCTTTTCTTTTATTCCATTTCTTCTTCTTTCCTGTTAAAAGGAAATGAACATAAGATTAAGAATGGAAATACGAATGATCTGAACTGGTGACCCTACATAATAATTACTTAGTAGGAGCATTGGCAGCATAAATTAAACTGATTTGCCAAATGAAATGGACAGTGATGGACAAGGTAATGTTCTTCATAATACTGTTTTGAAGTCACCACTGGACATAGGTTAGCATCATAGTTTTTCTTCACAATAAACATTAAGGGGGTCTGGGTACATGAAAGTGGCACAAAGCTAGATATGAATGGTGAAGCTGCCTTTATTAGGTAGTATGCCATGTATATAGGTACCGTGATTGTTATATACATTTCCGATAACAGCACACCAATACTGTGAGCATAAAGGATGGGAAATTAATTTTGGTTTTGGTTTTAGGATACAATATTTGAGCTGCTGAGGTTTGGTACACAACTCCCCTGTTACTTATGATAACAAACGTCACTGCAGACAGACTTAAGGCAGACTTTTCTGAACTAGAGTGGAGTGTGTTTTTGGCAGCATAGTCCCATTGAGCAGAATGCTGTGAACTACACCCCCTCAGTAAATAGGTAGGGGAATACAAGCGCATGACTTGTATGACTACAGTGTGGCCTTGTAAACTGTGTGATTTCCTTGTATTCGTCAAGGGGCTGTAGTTATATTAATAGCCTTACTAATTCAAGTCACCTGTTAGGAATGATCCTTTATGAATGACTGGAGTGTGTAGCAAAAATAGTAATAATAATGATGATTATGATCATGATGGTAATGATGGTGTTGGTGATGATGACAGAAGAAATACATTTGTACATTCTGATTTCTGAACTTGTCAATTTAAGTCTTTTATGTATGGGATTCTTTATTATAATGCTTTTTTAGAATGAGCTGATTTTATGTCTTTTTAGAATAATTTTCATACATTTGTCAAATAAGCATTTATAACATTCATCAAGAAAGGAAATGGTCTCTTTTTACCTATATTTCAATACCTTCTTCCTGTTCTTAGTCATATGCATTTCCTGTTACATCCTGTGGTCAGATGCAACTTTACACTTCACTTGGATCATTTTTACTTTTTTCATGCATTTGCCAAGTAAGCATAAGCCGTATGGAATTTAGTAAAGTGTTTTTTTCATTTTCCTTCTTTTTTTCCATTCTTTCTTTTTTTTTTCTTCTTCTTTTTTCTTTTTCTTTTTCTTTCCCTCCTTTGTCAATCAGTTTGTCTTTACCTGTACATTCATGTCAGTCTTAACATGTATTAACAGGATCTCTCCCACTCCCTTTTCCTTTTCTGAGTCATTGTATTTCCTCCTGTACCTTAGGGCATATAGGCTTAGTACTGGGATATCAAAAAGAACAAGAAAAGAAAAGAGAATGAAAAAAAAAAAAAATTCTGTTCGTTAGATCAGTTGTATTTGAGAGATTATACTGGAGCTCTGTTTTTTTGTTGTTTTCATCACTATCTTTTATTCACAGACTTAAAAATAAAAAAGTGACAATATGGACGAGAGAGATAAGACCATACTCGCCAAGAACCAGGAGTACATCGCAAAAACACTGGCATCCTCAGGGAAGGCGCAAGATGTTGTCTACGAACTCAGGGAATGCCAAGTCCTGTCGGCAGAAAATGCAGATATGTTATTAGTGAGTGTGAAACCAATTAATTTTGCGTATGTTGTATCTATAATGTGCTGGTCTTTTCTGGAGTGGTAACTGCAATATAAATTCTTTCCGAGCATGAATGTCTTGTTTTGAATAACTCAAGATAGAGCTTTCTGGAACTATAATTTTTTGGCCATATCTTTTGCCCCGGGATGTTAACTAGATATCTTAATTGTGCAGTTCCATAAAAGAGTATTTTGTATAAAGTAAGGGATTGTTATAATTTCTTATGTTGTTAACAGTAATTGTAGATGTAATCATATTTTATCCATTACATAATACATTCATATGTTTCACTGCAGGTATTACTGTTACATGAAGTTAAATATAAAGAAAGAGTATGGTTTTGACACTGCTTTTGTTTCCTTGGATAAATCCTCTTCAATTTCTCAAACTATTCCCTTTAATTTCTTGGACCAAGTCCCTTTAATTTCCCTGACAAATCACCTTCAGTTTCTCAGACAAAAGTCCCTCTATTTTCCTTGAACAAATTCCTCCTAAATTCTCTGACTAATTTTCTCCATTTTCACAAACCGGCTCCCTATAAGATACCTTTAATTTCTCATACAAATCCCTTTCCTTTTTCACAGCACATGGAGTCGACACAAACCAACATGGTCAGGCACTTGGTTGTCCTCCTTGGAAAGGGACAAGAGAGGACACTGCAGGTTTTTTTAAAGGTGTTGATGCAGTTCAACTTGCATGAGATGGTGAAGCAAATAGATAGAGAATATTACGAGCAGCATGAAGGAAGCCTGAGGTACGATTGTGCTGTTTTTTAAAAAGGTTATGGGCAAGAAAAAGATTAGATTTATGAATATTTCTTTTTATTATTATTATATATTTTTTTTTATTTATTTTTTGAATACAGTAGTTAATAGAAATTGGTATTTTATTTTCCAAAAGTTATTGTCAAATAATATGTATGTGTACATAAAAAAAAAAAAAAGAGAGAAAAAAACAACAACTTAATTTTCATTTATGAAGCAAAAAAATTATAGTATTGAGCTCTCATCCATTTTTTACTCACATTGAAAATTTTTAGGGGAAGCAGCGACGAGTTCGACAAGCTCCAGCGCCTCCCCCACACCCCCTCTGGTGGTGCAGAGGCCTTGCCCTTTCTCCGTCGTCCGCGGCCAAACCAGCCTCGCTCAAGACCCGGCTCCTATGGCTACGATAGCTGCGAGGAAAACAACAACCCCGATGAACCTTTGAGAATAGTAGTGGTCGAGAGTAAGGAAGTTGGGGGGTCCCATCTCGACAAGGCGGATGTGAGTATATTCATGTTTTTTTATTCGGTTTGAGGTGCATTGGCCTTAATATTGATTGCATTGGCCTTAATGTTTTCTAGAAATAGAAATGTTTTTTGAAGTTCTAAAATGGTTAAAGTGATTGAAGATGGATCATTTAATATTACAGAATTATTCTTTCACCTAATAAATACATATGCGTGTGTGTGTGTGTGTGTGTGTGTGTGTGTGTGTGTGTGTGTGTGTGTGTGTGTGTGTGTGTGTGTGTGTGTGTGTTTGTAATTTACCTCTATCAGTAAATTTGTGAAAATATGCTAACATGTTAGTTTTATGCATGTATACATATTTTTACTGTTGTTATAATACCTCATTGTATTTGCAGTTGTACAAGAACTTGAGCAAACCACGTGGCTTGGTTTTCCTCGCAAATTACAAGGACTTCCGGGATGAGCAGCATCCCTGCCGCAGAGGATCAGAAATTGATGTGAAAAATCTTTCGCTTCTCTTCACCCAGATGGGATACAAGATACCAAAACAGCATATCAATATGACAAAATACGTAAGTTAATTTTTTTTTGTTTTGTGTGTGTGTGTGTGCGCGTGCGTGTGTGTCTACTGTTGCGAAAGGATTTAGAAAAGCATATCGATTCCTTTAGATTTAAATGTATATGAAAAACATTATTGTTGAAAAAGTATATACTGAGTATTTTGAGGATCCACTCTGAAATAATAAATAATGAAATAATAAAATAACTGTTATCACAGCCTTCAAAAGAAGTACATTTTATACAAACTCACAAACCTTCCCCTTCTTCATTTCAGGAGACCATCAAAGCTATACGTGAATTTAGGTCTAACGAAGAATTAAATGCAGTCGACTCTTGCATCGTAATCATAATGAGCCACGGCAGAGACGAGAAGTCCTTTTTCACTTCGGACAACCAATTTTTAAGTGTTAATGAAGTGGTGGAAAGATTTAGTAACAAAGAGTGTCCGGCTCTGAAGGGAAAACCCAAGATCTTTATCTTCCAGTATTGTAGGTATGTTATGATGGTATTAACTCCTGTAAAGGCTGAATCATTTTGTGTTACTTGTTATTGATCCCAAGATCTTTCATTATTGTAGGTATGTTATGATGGTATTAACTCCTCTAAAGGCTGAATCATTTTGTGTTACTTGTTATTGATCCCAAGATCTTTATCTTTCAGTATTTTTGTATTAACTCCTCTAAAGGCTGAATCATTTTGTGTTACTTGTTATTGATCCCAAGATCTTTATCTTTCAGTATTGTAGGTATTTTATCATTGTATTAACTCCTGTAAATGCTGAATAATTTTTGTTAATTGTTAGTGATCAGTATGAAATTGATGGCTTATTAGTATTGTTTTTGTAGTTTGTATGACTTTTTCCATATTGTGCTAGTTCTGTCACTAATTTCTGAATCTGGCAACTGTGGCATATAGTATTTGCCTTAGGGTGTTGTATGATATAAATCAAAGAGGCCTATAGCAAAGAGGACAGAATATCAAGACAAAATTTGGTCATTTTAAATCTTAAAAGATTTTTTTTTTTTTCACATTGATATGTTCAAGATGTTTGTTCATCTATAAAAGTGAAGAACAGTGTTTGTTTAGCAAGTCTAGCAAGTCTGGTTCCTGTTCCAAGCAAAAGCTGTATTGTGGCATTTTTTGAGAATATCTTTGGGAATAGGATGATTGAAAGATTAACAGTTATATATTAACCTATTAGGGATGGTGTGTCTTTACTCTTGCTATGATGTGCTGAAGCCAAAGGCCAGTTAGCAAGGATACACGTCATGCTTGGTCAGCCAGCTCTAAGTTGCATGCCCTAAACAATTGTGCACTTGTTTGGTTCTGGGTAAAGGGTTAAAGTCTTGTTTTTGTCTCAAATGCTGTATTGGATAAATTTGGATTCATAACTTAATGCTTACCATTTTGGGGGCTTTTATGAATTTCAAAAAGCTCTGTTAATTAGTTTTGGTCTGCACATCCTAAGAAGTCTCATTTTTTATATTTTTGTGAAATATCTCTGGCCATAGATGGCTCTGCTAGTCCTGATTTCACCTTTCCTTGAATTGGCGGGAAAAAAAACGTATTTTTACTAATGCTATAAATATAGATGGTGTTATTTTTAACAGCAAATTAGGATAACGTTAAATATTTTCGTAAATCGATGAAAAGGGTGAACGGGCGAGACAGGCAGTACTT